AGATACTTAGCAAAATAAAGTGAAGAACATTCAGTAAGCATTCTATGTGGCTAAATTAATTTACATGATTTACTGAAGTTGGTCTTGATGCCACATTAATTGCCTCATTTCAAACCTAAGCCCATTTCATCAAAACCACGATCTGTTTCCAAGGATATTTATTGATTCTTATTTTGAAAATGGCGGAATATCTGTTTCAATTTTATAAGCAGCAGAAAGAAGGAAGCAATGTCCAATGTTTAGCACTCTGAACACACCAGTTGACATGTCAAAGAGAACTTTGACATCTGTCAAATGAAATGTCCAAGAGAACACTTAAAACCTGCTTCTACCTCATCCCAGTAAATAATTCCACCATTCACCTAGTTGTTTAGGCTACAAATACTAGAGTCACTCTTGACTCTGCTCTTTCTCTTGTATTCCATTTTCAATCCATTAGAAGATCATACTAGCTCTATTTTCAAAAAATACCTCAAATCTGACCATTTCTTGCTACTTTCCTCTGATACCACTCATTGATCCCAACTAGCATCATTTCTTGCATTCTTTGCATAGCAGCCACAGTTGAACTTTTTCAAAAGCATGTTATCTGCTTCAAAAAACTTTAAAAGTGTTTCCCATTCACATGTTTCATAAAACACAAAGTCTTTCCTATGGTCTGAAAGGCTTCACATGCCCTAGCCCTTTACTCTTCTTTTTCACTCACCTCCTGGAACACCAGGCTTGACTCAAAGACACCATTCACCTTCCCTGGCATTGACACTTACTGCTTCCTCAGTCAGGAATATTCTTCCTCCCAAATGGTCACGTGGCTAACTTCTCCCCTGCATGAGAAGTTTTGCCTGATATCCCTAGCCTAAATAGCATGCCTTTTTCTCTACCCCATCATTCTCTATTCCCATGCCCTATTTTATTTTTCTTCTTAACATTTATATATTCTCCACCAGAATGTCAACTCCATGAGAGCAAGGACTTTGTCTTTTGTTCACTGATGAATCCTCAGGGCCTAGAACAGAATCTGGCACATAGTAAATGCTCAATTAATATTTATTGGATGAATAAATGCAAGCGGGGTTACCCATAATAGCTCTTAGGTTTTTTAAAAGTGTAAATTTTATACAGATAGTTTTAAAATTAATGCTTGAAATGCTTGAAACAGAAAGTAATACATGTTCATATTTCCTATTTTAGGTAGTATTTATCAGTTTAACAATTTATATATGCATTTCCACCTAAGAACTAACTGAGATGAAGTTGTTATTACCCCCATTTGATAGATGAGGATAATTGAGATTCAGACGCATTAAGTGACTTGCTCAAGATAGCAAAATTATTTAGTGTTGGAATTGAGATTCAAACCCAGTTTTTTTTAATTACAATCAGATGTTCTTTGATACTTCTGGTATTAAAAAAACACATAATTCCAGTTATTTTATCCACCATAAATACATTTTTATTTGAAAGTCCCTTTGAATTTCCTACTGCTTTTACCAGTTTATATTTTTTTCTTTGTGTCTATAAATTTCCTCTGTAAATATTTCTATTTATCTGTCTTACTTTAGCCTGCAACTTAAAAACAATAGATTTAGTAGGAAATTCTAGTGAACAAAATAATTTAACAGATACTTTTTGATTACCTTCTATATGCTGTGCATGCACAGAGATGATGGTATGCAAAACAAAGTGAGGTAGACAAAAGAGTAAAAGGCAAATATATACTGAAATTAGGGCTGTGTTTGAGGGTTAAGACAGTGAATTTGGGGAGCATATTGGGTAGGGACCCAATTCAGGAAAAAGAAGAGATCCTAGGGCCAAGTCTCAGCTAAGAGCTAAAGATTGTATAGGACTTGGGCCAATAAGATAGCAAAAAGACATGAAGCAGCCTGAGCAAAGATATGTACAAAGATCTGAAGGCAGCATAGTTTGTTCATGAAACTATTTCAGTGGAGTATAGATATGCTAAATTAACTACAAATTAGAGTTCAATTTGTCTTCAAAGTGTGTCCTTGCATCAAGTCATGTCACTAGTTCTACTTCCATTTCTTATCATGGTATGTGGCCACAGTTGTTAAATAATAATAAATAATAGTAACTACCCTATATTGACTGTTTACTAAACTTGGCATTTACTAAATGCCAAGCACATTTAATAACCCTTCAGCCTATGAGATAGCTACATTATTATCCCTATTTTACAAACAAGCAAACTGAGGCTTATAGGGGTTAAGTGATTTTCTTGAGTTTATACAGCTAGAAACTGTCAGGATTAGGATTTGAACCAAAGTGTTAGGTTACAAATGCTACATTCAAACATTAAAGAAATCCTTAATTTTGAACACTTGGAATTTTTGTTATAATAATTTCTCGTGACTAAGCATCAGAACAGGTACACATTTATACCTCAATTGGCTCCTTTTCTTTAAAAAAGAAACAAAATAGTTGTAGAGAGCAGTAATTACTTATATGAGTATTTTATTCTGTATTTGCACCATAAATATAAACTTTTTGTAAGTTCTTCAACATTAACATCATCTTTTACCTAAGTATTATCTTTTTACTAACATCAGTTGAGCGCTCACTATAGTGGTTGGCCTTGTTTTAAGAGATTTGAATTCACAATGTTATTAATCCTCACTCCCCTGGGAAATAGATATTATCTGTGTTTCACAGATGAGAAGTTAGGTAATTTTCTCAAAGTCACACAACTCCTAAGAGATGAAGCCAGACTATGAAAACAGATTTATCTGAGTCCAAAGCCAATGCTCACTCCATGTTGCCCCAAGATAAAAGCCATCTTAAACTAAACAGTTAAAGACAAAATCACATTAAAACACAATATACAGTAATGTCCAACTAATAGAGGGGACATCCTGATTTATAAATCACTTAACTTTTCTTCTCACGTTTAAATATATACATAAACTCAAACTAGGTTAATGGGATAGTTGATTTACAAATGGAAAGGATTTTTCAATCAGTATATTAATCACATTTTCAAATAACATTTTGCACCTTATTTTAATATCTTTAACTGTTCCTCTACAAAGCTAATGTACAAAGTGACAAATATTCTGCTGGGCTCTCAATTACATTTTTATATACTATTTTGTATATCTTTCAGTGTTCTTTAAAATTTAATACAGCCATATAGTTCTATTTAATGAGTATATCATAATTTAACTAATTTTTCTTGAACATGGTTCCACTTTTTTAATATTATCATCCATACTATGATGAATATCTTTGTAGATAAATCTTCACACCCATCCAACCCCTTTGCATTTTCAATTAATCTTTTTTAAAGTACATATTCATTTATTTGACTGTGCCAGGTCTTAGCTGCAGCATGTGGGATCTAGTTCCCTGACCAGGGATCAAACCTGGGCCCCCTGCATTGAGAGCATGGAGTCTTAGCCGCTGGACCACCAGGGAAGTCCCTCAATTAATCTTTTTTTGAGGCAAAGTAAACTTCACCCAAACAAGTGGCTCCAGAAGTGTCAATCTCAGCCTGTGGCTATCAGACGGAAAAATATTTTGCTGTAGGTCATCCTTTCAGCCATCTCTAATTGTCCTCTCAAGGTGACTGCCTACCTTGTCAATTTGGAAGTTAGTTTTAAGTAGCATTCTAAAAGTGTGAGAAGTAGGGCAGTCCCTAGGAAGCCCTACTGTAATATATTGTGGTATTACAAATATTTTTACTTATAAGTGAGGTTGTCATATAAAAGAAGGAAGAGAAATTAACTGAAATAAAATTTGTCATAGAATGTTAAAGCCCGAAAATATTCAGGATATTACTTTCCTCTCCACCTTTCCAGCACAAGGCACACAGTAGCCAAGAATGGCAAATAGTAGCACACAGTAGCCAAGAATGGCAAACAGTCTTCATCTCTATTACCAGCTCTGATCGGTTGGTGGTGGCTGAGGGAATGGAGACTTAAAAAAGTGAAGGTCAGTGGGAAGAATACTGTAATTAGTTGGCCACATCTCTTAAGGAGGAAAGAGAGGAGTAACAGCCTATGGGTCATAAGCGTGCTGGCCCTCTAGTAAATGTCTGAGTGAATAAAATAGGTGTAACAGTAATATGACAGTGGTTTGCATTACCCAGACTTCTAGTCCAGGAGACTGAGCTAAAGTTATTACATTGAATGAAAATTACTGTACTATTTTTATAAGACTTTACAAATTATTTATTTTTTGAATAAATAACTCATATAACTTAGGCTAATATATAATTGATTATAACATATTTATATAATTACAATTTAAAAGTAAGAAAACAGTATACAGTGAAAAGTGTCCTGTATTGAACCCCACTTCCCTGTCTTCCATATCCCCTCTTCACCAATGTTAATTTAAGAGATTTTTTTTAAACCTAGATGTACTCGTACCTTTATAAAAACTAATTAATTATACCTTATTTGAAAAAGCTAAATCACTATAGTTTTCAAGAGCAGATTGAGCCTACAAACAACCTTGAATTTAAACAATTAGTTTCTAGTCATAAAAGCATTATTTATTTTAATGAGCTAGATCAAGTTTTTATTTTCCAGTAACAAGATTATTTTATCAAAATCTTTTAATTTCTGTTATTTTATTACATTCAGGGGAAAGGGGAAAGGATGGAAAGAAAATCTCTGTGTATGAGAAAGTACTCTAAAACTAAAAGCCCTTTATAGATATTATCAAAATTGTGCTTAGAAACTATATTTAATGGCTTTATAGTTATAGTATAGCTTTCAAAATTGAACTCATATTTAAAGATTAATTTAATAAAGTGATAATCACCCATGCTTTTATTTCCAGTTTCAGGGAAATCTCATTCAGTTCCTCTCCATTTTACAATTTGAGAAGTCTTTAAACTTTGTGAAAGTTATCAAAATTAGGTAATTTTAATTTTAAGGTTTAAGTTCTTAAGTATCTATCATGCTATAATCAACACAGACCTATTATTCTGTAGAAATAATCTAAACATTTTGTCATTATTGCTATTTCATGACAGCATGCAAGACGACAGCCTAGAAGCTTCTACTTCCATATCTCAGCTTCTGAGAGAAAGCTATTTGGCTGAAACTAGGCATCGGGGAAACAATGAGAGGAGTCGAGCAGAGCCTTCCTCCAACCCTTTCCATTTTGGGGGTTCTTCTGGCGCTGCTGAAGGTGGAGGAGGCCAAGATGACCTTCCAGATCTTTCAGCTTTTCTGAGCCAAGAAGAATTAGATGAAAGTGTCAATCTGGCAAGACTGGCAATCAATTATGACCCCCTGGAGAAAGCAGATGAAGCTCAAGCTAGAAAACGTTTTTCTTCTGATCAGACAAAACACTCATCTATATCAAGTTTTGACCCTAACTTCTGCCAGGATAACTCTCGAAGCCCTACCAACTCTAAAGAGAGCCTCCAGGAGGCAAAAAGGCCACAGTACAGTTCTGAAGCCCAGTCCAAAAAAGTATTCTTAAATAAGGCTGCCGATTTCATTGAAGAGCTCTCATCCCTGTTCAAAGCCCATAGCTCCAAAAGGATTAGACCTCGTGCCTGCAAAAACCACAAGAGTAAACTGGAATCACAAAACCAAGTTATACAGGAAAACAGCTCCAGTTTCCCAGATCTATCAGAAAGAAGAGAAAGATCTTCAGTTCCCATACCTATCCCTGCAGATACCAGGGATAATGAAGTGAACCATGCGCTGGAACAGCAGGAAGCTAAGAGGCGTGAAGCTGAGCAGGCTGCTGGTGAGGCGGCCAGTGGAGACAACACCCCAGGGTCCTCTCCTTCTTCTTTGTACTATGAAGAACCTCTGGGGCAACCTCCCCGGTTCACACAAAAGTTACGGAGCAGAGAAGTTCCCGAAGGAACCAGAGTACAGTTGGATTGCATAGTGGTAGGAATTCCACCGCCTCAAGTAAGGTAAAAATGTCCCGTTAGTAATGCTTGGTAATCACTTTCCATCTATTGTGATCCTTCTAATTTTATCTTTCAAGTATGTGGTTTCAAAGATTATATACTCCCTTTGAGAAAAAACAGAGTTTAAAGCACACTGTCCAACAGAAGTATAATACTAGACACATGTACAAATTAAAATTTTCTAATAGTCACATTTTAAAAAAATAAAATAACTTGGGGTAAAATTGATTTTTAAAACTATATTATTCAACCAATATATTTAAAAAACACTACCATTTCAACATGTAATCAATATGAAAATTGTTAATAAGACATTTTATATTCCTTTTGTCACACCAGGGCTTCAAAATCTAATGTGAATTCTGCACTTACAGCACATCTCAGTATGGATGCTAAATTTTTCTAGGAAATACTTAATGTACATTTAGACTTCAAAAAATATACAGTTGAAAAACTACACTGTAAGATCTAAGTTGTTCCAAACATACTTGAAAGTTCTATCAGAACTGAGTATCAGCTTTTATGTTTAAATTAATTAAAGTTAAATACAATTAAGAATTCAGTTCCTCAGTCACACTGGCCACATTCCAAGTGTCCACATGTGGCTAATGACCATGGTATTAGCACAGGCCTAGAGCCTATAGCTTAAAAAAAGTCTTTATGATCTATACTCAACGAATACCTATGGCAGTTTTTAATTTTAAAAAAAGCCAAATAACAGAAAAAGTGTGATAGAATAAAGATACAATAAAATTGGTAAAGATCAATTTAAAGTTTATTTTACATTTATTTATTATATACTTTTTTATTTATTCTAGGTATGTAAGCAGGGCGTCATCATTTTTGCAAAATAATCATATTATAGGGCAGTAATAGCACTTGTATTAATAATAACATTTTAAATTGTGTATGCTTATTGATTAGAGGAATTCTGGTATAAAAACACATTTATATATTGAATTTTGCTTTTCAGAGTCAGCACAAGGCAATACTCAATACTGTTTCTACCATGGCATATACATGTTACTATCTAGTTAAACAACTGACCTACTTGAGGAAAGGAGTACCTTGAGCACCAAGCATACTTTCTAGCCTATAGCAGTCACGCATAATACATTAGTCACTAGATCATGAGTATACTGATGGATAAAGAAACAGAAAAACAAGAAACTCGACTTAGATTTCAATCAGGAGTGAGACAATTGGCCTAAGACGTGGTAAAGGGTTGGAACAGCGCACAACAAAGGGAAGCGTCTACCCTTCATCTCTATGCATGCCTGATGACACTCCCTGGGACTCTGGTCACTGATGCTGGCAAGATGTCATCATAGCACCATGATGGATACCACTCGGTGGCATCTGGTCAGTCTAAGTAAGCTGGTGAGCACTCAAGTTATGGCACAGACACAGCTTACTTAGACTAGTTCTATCCATTCCACTAGTTTCTGGACATAGATTGGACCCTTTCAAAAAAAATTAGACCAGGTCACTCAAGACTCATCCTCCCCATTCTTAATCATGACAATCTCAAACACAAAAAAGACTCAGGCCTCTTGTGAGAAAAATCACTCAGGAGAATTACAAAATACTCATTCCCCCCAAAACAAAGTAATATGGTGGTTACTTAGAAACTACTTAGTCAACCAATTAAATATTTACAAATTTAAGAGTGAAAGAAATATACACAGCTTCCATGCAGCAATACTCATTTTTACCTGGAAAGAATTTCTTTAGTGATAGCATTCATGCCTATATCTCAGTTACTGGTTTAATGGCAGGAAATTAATGTGTATTCACTAGGTATTTTCTGAATTCATCACAGTAATCATATTAATATTAAGAAAAAACTTAGGATTGTCTAAATAGACTGTTTTTGTTGTTGTTGTCCAGTCGCTAAGTTGTGCTCAGCTCTTTGCAACCCCATGGACTGCAGCATGCCAAACTTCCCTGTCCTTCACTGCTCAAACTCATGTCCATTGAGTCAGTGATGCTATCTAACCACCTCGTCCTCTGCTATCCCCTCCTCATTTTGCCTTCAATTTTTCTCAGCATCAGAGTCTTTTCCAATGAGTTAGCGCTTTGCATCAGGTGGCCAAAGTATTGGAGCTTCAGCATCAGTCCTTCCAATGAATATTCTAGGAACATTACTTTGAATATTCAATGAAAATTATTTTCCTACATATAAAATTTATATAGCTTTAATCAGAAACCAAGTATATGTACCTAGCTTTTACTCTAAACTCAGAACCGTGACCAATACAATGACAGAGGCAATACAAACACATGTCCCTGCTCTCAAGGAACTTGCAACCTCATTTAAAGAAATCATCCTAACTCTACTCAATACTCTGTAATGGCTTATATGGAAAAAGAATCTTAAAAAAGAGTGGAGACATATATACATATATATATATATATATATATAAACTGATTCACTTTTATGTACACCTGAAATTAACATTACATGTAAATATACTATATTACAATAAAAATAATGATAATAAAGAAATCAACCTAATTTTTATAGGACCACGAAGGGCTGGAGGACTAGATAGGTCAAAGAAGACTTCAGAGAATAAGGGAATTTTAGTTGAATCTTGAAGAAAGAAGAAGTTCAGTAGAAATTTAAATCATTTATTCATTCAACAAATACCTACTGAGTTACTAAAGTGACTCCCTGAGAGTACAAACAATTGGGAGCTACTAGAGGTCAGGGACTTTGTTTTGAAACCAGTGAAAACTATTCTGAGAGGGTAGCTCACAGTCTAATAGAGCAATCAGACAGACATATGATCAAAACATTGCAATACTGTGTAATAAGGGCTGTAACAGAAGTATGCATGGAATGCAATGGCAGCTCAAAGGAAGATTGATATTTGGTCTAAAGGGCAGGATGAAGGAAGTGTTAATGCTGGAGGTGCCACTTCAGTTGAGAAAACTTAGGGTGAAGAGGAAAGCAAGTGGAAAGGCCCAGAGATAAATGTTTTCAGGGAACTGCAAATCCTTGGCTATGTGAGGAACATAGGACAAAAGGTGAGGAAAGATGAGAGAAAAGACAGAAGAAGTAGGCAGAGGGACAGGTCCTTTTAGGCCAGATCAACTCAATATGTTTATATAAAAGTACAGATGCTGGCAGAGTAATATTTTTAGATAACAGTGAGGAGACTGACCTAACTGGACAAGAGTGGAGCCAGATGATTTAGAAAAACCTTGAAAGCAAAGTAGAATAGTTCCGACTTGGTTTCAAAATCAAGTGGAAAGCATTTAAGGTTGTGTATAAGGACATACTAAGATAAAAGGGAGAATTTAAGTAGAATAGGTCTGGAAGAATGAATTAGACCCCAAATGAATGGAGCCCCAAGGGCACTTTGGAGGCTGTGGAAGGTATTACAGGCATCAGACACTCTGATATCAGACTGGGGTAGGGGCTGTGGGAAAGCAGAGAAAAGATGTGAGGGAGTAGTATTTAGAAGAAAAGAAACCAAGCTGAACTTGGTGACTGACTGGATAGGAAGGATGAGTAAAAGACTGACTGCGCAAGTTTGAAGCTGGGCACCTCAGAGAACCCTGGGGTCACTGTTAAGGTCTGAGAAACTGGAAGAGGTGGATGATTTGAGTCTGAGGAGATGGAGGGACCATATCCAATAGATAGTCAGAAACGTAGGACTGGAGGGCAAACGAGAGGGCAGTGGAACTGGAGACGTTCCAAAGAATGCCCTGGACACTGGGAAATTTGGACACAATATCTCTGGCATTACAAAGGGACTATAAATACAGGTAACATTTGGAACTAACATCCAGTTATGCTAGGCTGGGGCAGGGTTTTTTCCAACCTTCTTTTGGCAGTAATTCCTCCTTCCATTTTTCTCTTCACAATAAATATGTTACGTTACCCCAATATATACTTTACACACACATACACACACACACAGACTTCTTTAAGATGATATTCATGTTTCTGGAATTGAAGAGGATTAGGGTAGAGGAAGCATGCAGTCCTGCCTGCCTGCTCACCACTGAAACTCCTAAAGCATCTCCATAGAACCCAAGAGCACAGATTTTGATTGAGAGAATGCCTTTAAAAATGCATTACAAGAATGAGGTGCTTTGGTTTGCCATAAAGGAAAATAGTACAGTCAAAAAGAAAAGTATTCTTTTTCCTATTTTTGTAAGAAAATGTAATGCACATACCTGGCAACTAAGGTCTAACCTTGTATGTATGTGCCTCGGTGTGTTCTCCATATCTTACCCATGTTTCTATAATTCTAGTTTAGCAAACTGAAAAATCCTTTTGGCCTATATTTGTTGATTTCCAAGTTGACTGGGAAGAAATTGTTTTGTAAGGGTAGGATCCTGTATCATTAAAGCTAGCTGTTTTTGATAGCCTGTTAATCTTGGACATAGCTTCATTGGAGGAGCTGAAATACACTCATGCGTTACCCACAGATGAAAGAGTCTGCAGGAATTCACAGCAAATGGCCATGATCCCTTTTTGTATCCTGACTCGAAATTCTTTTCCCAGGAATGTACAGCTGGGTCACACTAAGTATGTTTGCTTGTACATAGCCCTCTGAAGCAGTAAAAATTTACCATTTATAGATGCTGATGTCTGCTTTGGCTGTTAAGTTTGCTATTGCTACTTCTAGACATTTGCCTATGAGTGCCATGCTGAGGAATAAAAAGGAAATAAATTAGTTATAAAGACAAAGGATATTTTAAATTATATAAAATATTATAAATAATTATATGTGATATGTAATGTAAAATATTATATAAGTATTTTAAAATGTTACATTATTTAGGGCTTTTTCTTCTACCTTTTGGGAAAATCTAGATACCTTCATTTACTCATTCATGCAACAAATGTGAAGTATCTACTATGTGCCATGTACTCATATAGCCAATAAAATTAGAGCAGTGAACAAGGAAAATCCCCTGCCTTCATGTATTTTAAGGTCTAGTAAAGATCACAGGCAAAAATCCCACAATGATTACATTATCAT